TCTATTTTTAGCTTAATGAGAATGTTTATCATTAAAGGGTGTTGAATGTTGTCAAATTCCTTTTCTGTATCACTTGAAATTATTGTGGGTTTTTTTTTTCATTCTTTTAATGTGGTTTATTACTTTGATGGATTTCAATAACATTCTTGAATTTTGGGACTAAATCTCACATATAATCCTTTTGAATACAGTGCTGAATTTTATTTGATATTTTATTGAGGTTTTTTTACATCAGTGTTCATAAGGGATATTGTTCTGTAATTTTATTTTCTTGTAAGTTTGTCTGGCTTTGATATTGGGGTATCCTTTAGAGTCTGTTAACTCTTACACAATCTTTTTTTATTCTCATATTCAGTAAGTTGTATTGTCTTATCTTTTAGTTCAGTGAGTCTTCCTTTTGCCTGTTTAAATCTGCCTTTGAATCCCTGTAGTCAGTTTCTCATTTCAGTTATTAGCTCTATAATTTTTTGGTTTATTTTTTGGGTTTAAGAAATCTCTTTATTAATATTTCCATTTTGTTCATGCGTTATTTTGTTGAATTTATCCATATCTTTCTTTAGTTCTTTTAGTGTCTTTAATATGATTGTTTTAAAGTTTTTATCTAGTATATCCACCATTAGCTTTTTTTCAGGGACAGTTCTTGTTGATTTTTTTCCTTTGAATGGGCCATACTTTGTTTTTGTCAGTCTTATGATTTTTTTTTTATTTGGTTAAAAACTGGGCATTTGAGATGAGTAGTATGGTAATACTGGAAATCAGATTGTCCCTCTTCCTTTGGGTTTGCTGGGTTTTGTTGTTGTTGTTGTTTTAATTTTTATTAGATGTCTCTATGCTGTGGATCAGCCTGAGGTGTAAACTTGAGTTTTTTTCAGGTTTTTCTGATCTTCCCTTGGCCATGTATGGTCACTTTCTAATTTCTCTTTGTATGTACAGATATTTTTAATATTTTAATTTTTTAATGTAAATTGCTTAATATAAAGCTACTGTTTAATGGCTGATTTACAATAGGAGAAAAGGAGAAACATAAATGAGGGTCGAAAAGGGTGCTGCCCTTTAAATCTTGTGAAAGTCATTTCTGTTAGAGGGCTAGGGGTTGCAACAGCAGAAGAAGGTGCAACAACAGTCTTATTTCTTTGCTCCTTTGTGACAAGAAGTAACCAGTGACCAGAGCAGAGAAACCCTGTATTTGGAATAGAGGATTTTTTTTTGCCACCCTGGCACTCACCAGCTGCTGTGCAAGTTACTCCAGGAACCTGTCCACAGTTGTTTGCCATGTGAATAGGGGTGGGTAATGGGTAGCCGCTATTGTGCTGAGAGTTGAAATTGACTGAAATTAACCCCAGTTTACACCTGAGTTTTCCTATGGAAGTTGAAAGCCTTTCATACACTCCAAACCTCCAAGAGAATTACATCAGACAGTCTTCATATGCAGTTGCTGTCTAGGTGGGGAGACATTCCTGGTGCTTTGTACTCTGTCATCTTCTCAGCATCATCTCTTCTTTCATTTTTGATGAATTTTAAGTTGATAGTTGTTTTCTTCCTTCACCATTTAAAATACGTTGTTTCATTGTTTTCTGTATCTTATACTTTTGTTGAAAAGTCTGCTATATACTTATCTTTATTTCTCTCTAAATATGTATTTTCTTTCCCTGTAGCTCCTTTTACAATTTTCTTTTCCTTATCAATTTTTCACCAGTCATACACATGCACATAGTGTGGGGTATGTGCCTGTGTGTGTGTACTCCTCCATTTACTTTTCTTGGCATTCATCAGTATTGTTGGATCTGTTGATGCCTAACTTTTATGAATTTTTGAAATTTTTACTTTTACTTCCTCAGATTTTTTTCTGTTCCTCCCCTCTTTTTAGGACTGCAACTGCACATATATAATACTGCTTGATATGATCTTACAGTTCATTTGGATAGATCTACTGCTGCACCTTCAAATTCACTGATCTTAACATCATCTGTAATATCAAACATGCTGTTAAATTCATTTAGTGAAATTTTCATTTCAGTTATATTTTTTATCTCTAGAATTTCCATTTATTTCTTTTTCGACTCTTAGAGTTCTTTCTTCATATGTTCATGTGTTCCTTTGCATCTATTACCTACATTGTCTATATTTTTTATTTTGATTTAGTATTCTTGTATACTAATTCTGTCACCTCTGTCATTTCCAAGTTTGTCTTGACTGAGTAATTTCTCTAGGTTATGTTACATTTTTATACTTCATTATACATCTGGTAAATTTTGGTTATAAGCCAGACATTGTGACTTTACCATTCTGGGTGGTATATTTTTTGTATTGCAGTAAAGAATTTTGTGTTTATTCTAGCAGGCAATTAAGTTACTTGCAGACTAGTTTGATCCTTTGGAGGATTGTTTTTAAGTTCTTTTATGGAGATTCTAAAGTAATTCTAATTTTAAATCATTCCCATCTCAAAGGTGTATCCTTGTTATTACTGAGGTCATGCCACTGATAGAACTTGAATGAGTTACATCCCTTTGTGAGCTCTGTAAATTGTCTTAGAACTTTCTGTTTATTTTCCTTTTCTTGGAAGTTATTCTTGGCAAACTCCATAAGAGTTTTACTCTGTACATTTACAAATTGATATTTAGCCATACTTCAAGGGATCCTTGTACATATTTTCCCAGAATGCTTTCTTTTTGCATACCTCCATCCCCAATGGGATTCTAGCCAGTAAATTCTAGCTTTCTTGACCTCTCCTTAATCTTCTCTTCTTCTTCTCATTTCAGTACTGTAATTTCAGTACTGCTCCCCTCCTTGCTCCATGGGCTTTCCTGGTGGTGCTAGTGGTAAAGAACCTGCCTGCCAATGTAGGAGATGCACGAGCTCAGGTTTGATTCCTGAGTCAGGAAGATCCCCTGGAGGAGGGCATGGGAACCCATTCTAGTATTCTTGCCTGGAGAATCCCATGGACAGAGGAGCCTGCTGGGCTGCAGTCCATAGGGTTGCAAAAAGTGAGACCCAACTTGAATCGACTTATCAGGCATGTCCACCTTGTCCCATGCCACATTCCAGTATTTACCTGCAAGAAGGAAGCTTGGACGATGGTAAAACCTATTTCATTTGTTTGCCTTTTCTCAGAAATAATTATACTATGCTCCCCATTGTCCACTTCCTACAAATGTTAATTCTCTTGTTTTGTCCAGTTTTCTAGTTGTTTATGGGGAGGGGCTAGGTCTCAATCCTGTTACTCCTTAATGATCATTACAGAGTTCTCATCATGTATATTTTAATCTTAAAGAGAGATTTTCATAAAAACAGATTCTTCAAGGCAAATAGCTGGTAACAGAAGTTTTCAGATAATAAACTTTTCTAATGATGCCACCTGATATGAGAATCTAGGACCAGAAATACTCAGGGCAGTTGCCAGTTGGGAAATGAGTCAGAAAAACATAGGAAGATTGTGTAGGTGTCTGCTTAGTATGGTTCTAGGGACTTCAGGACCTTGTCGCATTCACTTCTCACTTACCTTACTCTCAGATGACTGCTCTACCTATTATTTTCTAGATCCATAAATTCCCTGGATAGGAAGGCTACTCTTCCACCATAGCTAATAGACTTATTGGAGCTTTCCTGGTAGCTCAGATGGTAGTCAGCCTGCAGTGCAGGAAACCCAGGTTTGATACTTGGGTCAGGAAGATCCCCTGGAGGAGGGCATGGCAAGTCACTGCAATATTCTTGCCTGGAGAATCCCCCTAGACAGAGAAGCCTGGCGGGATCCAGTCCATGGGTTCACAGAGAGTCAGACACGACCGAGCAACTAAGCACAGCGCAACAGGCTTGTTGGACGTTACAGAAGATTGCTTGCTTGGGCAGCAAGATGTCAATATCAAAGTATAAATTCCTGTACTTAATCCTCTGCTAAGACACGGGAGGGAGTAAGGAACCTAGTAAGACTTGTGAACTTGATAGGCTTTCTGAGAACCCTGTCTGCCAGAGTGCTGAATTCAGCCTATGCACCTCTTTCGCTCTTCTCCCCCTCTGCCTGCAGTTATGATCATGTGCCTTTTCTCATGCATGACTCTGACCTGAGAAGAACAACGAATATCAAGGAGGTCCTGCCAAATGCCTCCTTGACACACCCTTCCTTATTTGATTGGGATTTCCTGTCGACTCTGAATGCAGGCAAATGGTTTTCACAAGCTCTGGTAAGACACATTCTCCACTTGAAGAAACCTGCCTTGAACTCCCTCTTCTGTATGAGGTCATGTGCTACTCCTGGAGATAAAGCCTTTAGATGAGATAGGCAAGTGTGCACACAATTTCATCCCAGTTTGGTAGCATGACTATAGTTAGAATTCGCAGGAATGTTATTCCAGTAATGTAGTCAGTCTAATTGCTGCTGGAAATTCTGCAAACAAGCCTTAAACTTGTTCTTGTTATTTACTTCCTTTTTATCCAAGAATTTCTTGAACTTAGGGCTTCCCTGGTGGCTCAGATGGTAAAGAATCTGCCCACAATGTGGGAGACCCGAGTTTGATTCCTGGCAGTGTTTAAATAACAAGTTAGAGAATTTAGAATTATCCTGAATAGAAAGTCAGGTTTACATCTGATAAAAGTCAAGCCTGCCTTCTGAAAATAGTTAAAGAAAAAGCAGCTTACATTTTCCAGGTTATCATGTCTGCAGGGAATCCATGTGACCTAGGTTTCACCAATCAGATATACTCATTTTCAGTCTGATTTTGACAGCGAACATCTGAGCAGGGCAGACAGCAGGCACTCATATTGCTGGGACCTGTGGCAGCAGAGCTACAGTAGTTAGAGGTCAGCTCTGGTGATGGCTCTCCTATCAAAGATGTCAATATCAAAGTATAAATTCCTGTACTTAATCCTCTGCTAAGACACGGGAGGGAGTAAGGAACCTAGTAAGACTTGTGAACTTGATAGGCTTTCTGAGAACCCTGTCTGCCAGAGTGCTGAATTCAGCCTATGCACCTCTTTCGCTCTTCTCCCCCTCTGCCTGCAGTTATGATCATGTGCCTTTTCTCATGCATGACTCTGACCTGAGAAGAACAACGAATATCAAGGAGGTCCTGCCAAATGCCTCCTTGACACACCCTTCCTTATTTGATTGGGATTTCCTGTCGACTCTGAATGCAGGCAAATGGTTTTCACAAGCTCTGGTAAGACACATTCTCCACTTGAAGAAACCTGCCTTGAACTCCCTCTTCTGTATGAGGTCATGTGCTACTCCTGGAGATAAAGCCTTTAGATGAGATAGGCAAGTGTGCACACAATTTCATCCCAGTTTGGTAGCATGACTATAGTTAGAATTCGCAGGAATGTTATTCCAGTAATGTAGTCAGTCTAATTGCTGCTGGAAATTCTGCAAACAAGCCTTAAACTTGTTCTTGTTATTTACTTCCTTTTTATCCAAGAATTTCTTGAACTTAGGGCTTCCCTGGTGGCTCAGATGGTAAAGAATCTGCCCACAATGTGGGAGACCCGAGTTTGATTCCTGGCAGTGTTTAAATAACAAGTTAGAGAATTTAGAATTATCCTGAATAGAAAGTCAGGTTTACATCTGATAAAAGTCAAGCCTGCCTTCTGAAAATAGTTAAAGAAAAAGCAGCTTACATTTTCCAGGTTATCATGTCTGCAGGGAATCCATGTGACCTAGGTTTCACCAATCAGATATACTCATTTTCAGTCTGATTTTGACAGCGAACATCTGAGCAGGGCAGACAGCAGGCACTCATATTGCTGGGACCTGTGGCAGCAGAGCTACAGTAGTTAGAGGTCAGCTCTGGTGATGGCTCTCCTATCAGGTAGCTATGAAATCAGTCTTCAGGGACTTCTGATTATGTACTAGATGGAATGGAATTTATTTATATTTGATGTTAATCCTGAAGACCGATTTGACCCTTTGTCATGTTAAAAGTGAAAAGTAAAGACTTACATCAAGAAATACTTATCCACTTAAAATTCTTTCAACAAGTGTTACTGTAAGGGATAGCTGAACATTGATTTGTAATGATTGTATCACCTCAGAATACTTACTCTCATATGAGTACATAGCCTATAAATACTGTTTCCGTGTGAGAAATAAAGGGATACATCTGATATTCCAGGTTTCTGTGTGTATGTAGGCTCTGTATATGTCTCATCATACATGAATAAATAGAAATATACAGACTAGAGAGACTCCATTAGTATGTACAATATATATTGGTTTAATTAGCCATGGGCTAAGTCACTTCATTTGTATCCGACTCTTTGTGACCCTTTGGACTGTAGCCCTCCAGGCTCCTCTGCCAATAGGATTTTCCAGTCAAGAATACCATACATTGGAAGGCAGATTCAACAACTGGACCTCCATGAAAGTCCCCCAGGCAAGAATACTGGAGTTGGTTGCCATTTCCTCCTCCAGGGGATCTTCCCAACCCAGGGTTTGGGAAGAAACCCACATCTCTTAAATCTCCTGCTTCAGCAGATGGGTTCTTTACCACTAGTGCCGCTTATGGAAGCCCTGATAACCATAGGTAATGTTTTGGCAAGTATGTATTCCAAATGAGAATGCTGTTAGACTATTTGTTGTGTAATTTATGGTTTGTAAAAGTCTTACTTACCATAAGTGGTGGGGTAAGATATGTTATTTTAGTAATGTTATCTGTATGTTTTAGGATTAATAGTTTTATTTTATCTAGGTGGTGTGTTTGCAAGTGTTTAGTTATACTTTTAGTCTGGTTACTGAAGAGTATTCTGAAAGCTTGACTTCAAATATGATTATCTAGGGGGCTTTATTTTTAGGTTTATTTGTAGAGCTTTCCTTGCTTGCATGCTGTGTGGTCAGAAGTAGTCAAAGTGTTGTTGGCACATTATTTAAAAGGTTTGTAAGATTGGATAATTTTTCAGAGCAAAGAAATTCTTTCATTTGCGAAGGTTTTTCTGGGTTCTCTTTTTTGGTTGGGTATAGTTATGGATTGATGGTGGTGGTGAGTTGATTATTATCTGATGGTAAAGTTATTATTCTTGAGATTACTTGTGAAAATTAAATAGTTTGATCTATAGTGAAATAAAAATAGATATAGAAGTTCTGGGAATTGTCCCTGGAAGATCAACTGATCTATTTGAGGGCTTCCTTGGTGATTCAGTGGTAAAGAGTCTGCCTGCAATGCAGGAGACTCAAGTTCAATCCCTGAGTCTGGAAGATTCCTTCGAGAAGGAAATGGCAACCCACTCCAGTGTTCTTGCCTGGAAAATCCCATAGACAGATGAGCCTGGCAGGCTATAGTCCATGGGGTCGCAAGGAGTNATGTCCATTGAGTCAGTGATGCCATCCAACCATCTCATCCTCTGTCGCCCCCTTCTCCTGCCCTCAATCTTTCCCAGCACCAGGGACTTTTCCAATGAGTCATCTCTTTGAATCAGGTGTAGACAACTGAATCAGGTGTAGACATCTCTTTGAATCAGGTGTCCAAAGTATTGGAGTTTCAGCTTCAGCATCAGTCCTTCCAATGAACCTTAAGGGTTGATTTCCTTTAAGATTGATTGATTTGATCTCCTTGCAGTCCAAGGGACTTTCAGAGGTCTTCTCTAGCACCACAGTTCAAAAGCTTCAACCTCAAAAAATCTCAAAAGTATAAAAATGTAATTCTCATGCATATAGTGAGCAGATTATAATCTTATTTAACACATTAATGAAATAAGCAGAACGACACTTAAAAGAAGTAAGAACTCAATATGCCTATAGTCAGAGCAACAAAGAAATGCTGAAATCACATTGTTAAGTTGGATACAAACCTAGTATGTTACCTTGTTAATATACTGTATGGCAATGAAGACATACTTTTGGAGTTATCTTTTTTATAAAAAATCATGTACATCTCTATTGGACAAAAATCATTTCCACTTTTATTAGTTGTCTACAAGTCACCATCTAACTTTACATAGTCTGACCCTAATCAGTAGAAAACAGTAATTCAAAGAAAGGTACATTTCCTCAAGAGTCAGATGACCCTTAGGTGTGCTTGTTAAACAGTGTGTTACCATGATATTATCTTTTGCCTTATTGCTAAGTTTTGAATAATGTAAGTCTCCTCTTCGGATCATTAATAACTTCTATAGAGTAGAGACTGGTCTCATTGTGATTTTGCATCATGTGTCTTCATTAACTTCCATCGGTGTAGTTAAACCAGTCACTTAACACACATAAGGTTCCTTGTTAGCTCTAGAGTCAGATCTAACTCTAGCAAATCTAGAGTCAGGTCATATTAGACAACTGCTCAGGCCACTTGAATTAGGTTCCATCACAAAGTTTGTAAAGCATCTAGAATTTTATTTTTAGCAGTCTCTATTATTCCAGAGGTCTTTTTATCACTATTATTTACAAACTAAATTCATTTATACCAGGTTTCACCTCTGCACTTACAAACATGGACAAATTCCTCTCTTCTTTTCTTGCAAGTCAGTGGTTTTCTTACTATTTGTAATGCTGGGACAGTGTACAACAGTGGACATGAAACAGTTTGCCTAGGAAGGCTGGTAGGCATTGGTCCAAATACCAATTTTATCTGTGTCCTTAGTGGGGACTGGGGACTTGCCATATCATACTGAATGAAATGTATTCTCAAATATCATCCATTAGGTATGGCTTTGATTATGCAATCAATTTGTTCAGTTATGTCCCAGTGAAAGGACAGATTTTTATTTAAGCTCATGGAAATGACTGCATTGTCATGAGACATAAAGACTCAGTAAAAGGTATTTGTACCTGAATTCTGAGGGATGGTGAAAACAAGATACTATCAATAAATACAAAGAATGTTTTTCACAAGGTAAGAATTAGAGAAAAGTAAAAAAGAGAATGGGTTTTCTCATATGCCCAATAGAAAATAGAATATTAAAAAGAGTACCAATAAAATTACAAAATGAATTAGCATGATTAGATTGACCTCATCAGTTCATTCAGTCTGGCATGGGTAATGTCCTGCTATGTTTAGGGTTATCAGTGTGCTTCCATGAAGTTAACCACTTCTACTCTAAAACTTAATCTTTGAAATTCTGCCTCAGTCCTCTGATACAGATGGGTTAGTGTCTGATTGAGAGGACAGTGTCAACTTACACTCGGAAGCATTTTCATGAGTTTGTTCTTTGTGTATCAAAAGATAAGAGTGTCTGTACAGTTCTTTCAAACAAGATTTTGAGTCTAGCCTTTTCAATTTTTGATCTGTATCTTATATAAAAAACCTTCAGACAATCATGGGAAGAAAGAAGAAACCTCTTGATAACTGAATTGAATCTGTTTAATTTATTATAGTAAACAACAGTGTCAGAAAGGAAAATAAAACACTAATAGAATATATTAGTCTGTTAGTGTGACTCTTTGTGACCCCATGCACTGTGGCCCGCCAGGCTCCTCTGTCCATGTGATTCTCTAGGCAAGAATACTGGAGGGGGTTGCCATTTATTTCTCCAGGGGTTCTTTCCAACCCAGAGATCAAACCCAGATCTCCCACGCTGCAAGCAGATTCTTTACCATCTGAGCCACCAAGGAAGCCTACCTAATAGAATATAATACACAACTATATAGAAGGTTTGATCTGTTTCCTTTAGGAGTAAGAACATGTTATAGACATTGAAAACATTAGCATCTCTCCTGATTCTTCCAGTCCATTTTTTAAAATATAAAAAATTGTCAAACTCTGAAATGTATTTATATTTTTATTTTACCTGCAAAATATTGACTGGGATGATAAAGGTTCCCTTTTTATATTTTGCAGCTTCTGCCATATCTTAACATGTGGGCAGTTTTTATAATAGAGTTGAACCATATATGAAGCATGGATGTATCTACTTCTGGCCATGACAGTGTACAGGTGTTAGCTGTGTCATCTTGCCATAAATAGCTAGAAAACCAGAAAAAATATATGAAATATCCATTCTTAGATGCTGGAAAACAGTCAGTGCAGAGCTGTGAAAGAAAGGAATAATAGAGCATTCTGATTGCCCTCATATTGCACCTGGAGGTGTGTTCTGGCTGTCATACATCAGGAGGAACCTAAGCAGAGCATGGTGGTCCTGTGGAGCTGAGGAGAGATTGGATTTTTTTTTTTTTTAGATAGAGGTGGTGGTAGTTTTGAGGGAGGACTACCCAAAGGAGAGAACTCTCCAGAGAAAGACC